GTTCGTGACCCGAGGTACCACTGTATACTGTTTTGTACACAGTATCTCCAAAATACAGATACCAGTTAACTAGTCAAGAATTTAATTGAAATAAAGAAGTACTCTTAAAAAAAGACTCAGCTATAGAAATTATATTCCAGTTAGCACAAATTCAGAATAACATTAGCCTTGCTTAAGACTTGGTTATGCTAAGTAGGATTTTCTGTTTCCCTCTGATTTTGATTTGGTTTCAAAAGCTGCTTTGATTACAGGTGTAGTTGACATGTGGAAACTAAGCATCATTTGAGAGATACCTCTGAAGTGTTCTTGGGAATGAGAACCATGGCTCAGATTTCAAGCAGTTGGAGCGTGGATCTGGATTTATATCCATATATCTTCTTATATAGCACATATTAAAATCAGTGACTTCTTTATTTCAATTTTAAACAAAATGCAATTTTTTTAGTTCTTCTTTTAGAAAGATGATATTAAAAACATAGCTGATCAAGCACATAAAGTCATAATCAAAGATCCATCTGAGGCAATGTCTTTATTAGACCACTCAAGATTACAAAATGATGTTCAAGTTTGAACAACTCATGAGGAAAAGTAGTAACAAAAGTGAGTGTAAAAACATAGGCAAGAATTCACAGCTCACTTTCAGGATCACCTGCAACTTTTGTAACTAATAATGAAGAAGAGAGTAACAAAATGAGAGATCTGTGTGTCTATATAAATATTTTTTCACCATTAGTGTCAGGCAACAATACGGCCATTCACTATTCAAAGCAGGGATGTATGCAGGGTGTGGTAAAAACTACCATGGCCATCGCCTTGACTTTTTTTTACCGCACCCTGAGGATATTCTCAGTTCAAAGACTGAAAGAACTGCTCTATATTGTAAACAGGCAGGGCCAGTCCATTCTCACAACCATTTAGGTATGGAACAGTTTTGATCTATTAAATGGAAGGAGGAGAACAAAAAAAATCCATGTTTCAGTTACGGTATGTTATACGCTAGAGGAGGAAATTAACAATATATATAGGATTACTTCTTTAGAAACTTACTTAAAACTTGTAGCATTACTAGATCTAAAATAGCTAACTCAAAGAAGCCAACAGGAAAGAACCTCACATTTTTTACTTTTTTCTGTTTTCTGGAAGGTGAAAAGTAGGTAACAAAATAATCCTATATTACATCACTCCAATTAAATTAATAAAGGTAACAGGAAAGAGAGGAGAAACACTTTTGTTCACGAAATATAACTGATTTAGCTGATGCTAGTAACAGTTAATTTTTTTTTGTACTCTTGAAAAATATTTTGAATCTATAACAATCTATCAGAATTAAACCAGTTTTAAATTAAACAATTCTTAAATTAAGAATGAAACAAGATTTGTTTTACAATTTGGACTGTTCTGTCTTTTGAAAAATAGATTAATTAGATTTCAATTATGTTTCACTTCACAATCTTTAAATACTGTAATTAACCTATTATATGCATAACCAATATATGATGTTTTAAGTGGTGAGCTTAACATTGGTACCACCATTTAGTAAAGTGGCTAAAATAATTTCTGCTGCTATTATCTGTACAATAAGATTTTGTTTAGTCACAGTCTTCCACTTTTCATATCCTGGACAAGCAGCGGTCATGTATCCCAGCAAAAAATGTCACATATGTGCATAAATGTTTTCAGCAGCACATGCCTTTTTTTAAAACATCAAACATGCAAAAAAAAAAAAAAAAAAAGTCCAAAATATCTATTTTACATCAAGAAATGACTGAATGCCATCTTTGCAACCGATATTCTCCTTTGTAACTGTGGCACCCTAAAGATACGAGCATATGTGCAAATGCTTCTCTCGGGGTCAGTGACGCAGAAGGCCCTGCTTTTCCCTTCCAGCTATAGACTGGTGGGAGACACTAATCTTGACCTTGAGAATTCCAATGTTTGTTACAGCTTTCTCAGAAGTTTCAAGGAGATGTGGTTGGAAAGAGGCCCAGAAATGCCAGCAAATACATAACGCTTGTGGGATACACACGCGGAACTAATTATGATCTTCAATTATATGTGACAGATCTAAAATGAGATGGGCTGTCTCCACTGCAACTTGCAGACCATTCCTTTTTGCCGCAAAACAATCCAGGACAAGATTGTCAGCAGAGGTTACACAGGACTCGTGAACACAATTTTGGGGAAGGAAAGAAACAGAGCAACAATTTAACATCTTCCAGTTGAGGCCTTCCTGTTTACTGCAAAGGCCGCACCCACACTTTTGAACAAAATCTGACCAATCGGAGTCGCTAGGAATGTTAGGTGGAATAGACCACGAATGACCCCAATGGGTATCAATGAGAACATCACCACTGTCATGCTCCAGAGAGCGAGCGATGGATTCCAGCGAGTGGCAAAAACAGTCAGTTACTAAGTGGAACTCCTCCGAAGAACAGCATAGATCTTCCAAGGTGCTCTCTGTTACACTCCAACTCTAGAACAGAGAGGGAGAAAATGAAAGTTGTTGTTACTCACTAGCCTACTTTGCTGCATTATAGCTCAGTTTAAGATTACCTGGAAGGAAGACCCACTGTGGTTTATGAGTTAAACTCCCAGGTAAATGCCAAACCCTATAAATGTTGATTCAAAATAAGTCCTCTTGAATGAGTCAGATTCATTGTCTGGAAAATGAATAGATGATTGAGGTCTCTGTACAGTATTAGGACGCTACAGAACAAATACTCCCAAATAATGTTTTCTATCATACAATCTCAGATTAATATTATTGCTGGAAAAGAATTGTGCAGGGATCAAGGGCACAGTCAAGGAGCAAATTGGCATCTTTGGGCTGTACTGGTTTTTCAACATAGGTCAAGTGATTTTGAGCCCCCCCGCAAAAAGGAAAGAAATACACTGTGAACAATTTCCTCTACCTCTGCATCCTTTTCCTCTGCCTAACAGCAGGTGGCAACACCTAGCCATAATTGGCTGATCCTGAAAAAAACAGCAGGGCCAGACTTGATTAATATTGGATGGGAGACCACCAGGAGATCCCAAGGCCTAAAGCCAAGCTAAACTGGGAATAAAAAACAAAACAGAACAGAACAGAACCCAGAAAAAGGCAATGGCAAATCATTTCTGCATTGTTGCTCAGAAAACTAAATGAACATGAAGTCATTAGGAATAAAGCTTGATTCAACAATGTCTTTACCTTTTCCTGGCTTTATCCACAGCCTTAATATTAATTATATAATTATATTCAAATTAATATAAACACACAAATATGAAGAGATTTAAGTGTATTACATTTGGTATAATATATCTGGTCTTAGGTGTTTCATCTGTGCTCATAAACATTATACACTGAAGAGCCTTAAACAGTTTTAAATATCCCCCATGAAACTCTCAAACCTTGTGCTTTATGTAGGAGGACACATGTGTTTCGGTACAGCCTCCACCCAGCAAAATCCACGGATCTTTGACTGTTAACTGCAAAACATGTTCTGCAGTTTGACAAGCAAGCTGCAGAGGAAACAAAAACCCAAATACTTTTATTATAGAAGCTGATATTTTCCCCTCCAAACGCAATAGAAAATAATTAATTTATCCTCCCTTTCTGCAAAGGAGTTCTGGTTAGTGGGTATAGTACTTATCCCATTTTATCTGCTCAGTAACACTACAGATTAACATAGACTATATTTTATAATGGAATGATAAACTGCATCTAGTTCTCCTGGATCAAAACCTTTATGGCAGTCAGCTAAATGACAGGTGGCTTATGGCAACTGGCATTTTCTACTCAGTTTCACAATAATGTATTTCTCCATTAATAAGACATTATTCGTTGGCCATTTTGAGGCTAAGAAGTACAAGGAACAAACAGAAGTAATAGCATTTTTAATATTCTTAGACTATTTTGTTACTGTTATTTAATATTACTGACTTTTTGCATTGTTCAAGTTCTGATTATTTTGCATCGCTCAAACCAATACTTTGGATATGAATGCTCTGAATTTATCATTAGTTTTAGCAATGCCCAGACAATGTTCAATGTATTTCAGTCTGCTTTTATGCAGATTGCAAGTCAACTAACGTAACACATTTAAATACTTAGCAAACTATACAGGTTATCCTTGTTAAGCAACCACAATTGGGACTGGCAACTCGGTTCTTAAGTGAAGCGGTCACTAAGTGAAACTGCGACTGTGCTTACGATCTTACTTCAGCTTTCCTTTGCTTTACAGACCTGCAAAGATCACTAATGTGAGGATTGGTCATAAAATTATTTTTTCATCACTGCTGTAACAGCAAACGGTCACTAAATGAGGCAGTCACTAAATCAGGACTACCTGTACTCATTATTTTAATGAAATTATTTGTTTAAAAAAGGTGCACCAGTTAAAAAATGCCAATTGCCACATCTGTGAATTAGAAGATTAAGTAAAAATAAACAGCAGAATAATATCTTTATTATGAATAACCAACTATCACAATCAAAAGAGAAATGTTTGGATTATCCATAAGGATTCTTTGCATTGAATCAAAACAATCAAAACTGCAACAAGAACAAAACTAAAGATCTAAAGCTGCACTGGAAACTCTATGTTGCAAATATGACAAGCGGTACAGAAGGCAAAAACAGGACCTGGAAATGGTGACTCATGCTCTGATCACCACCAGGATAGCCTGCTGTAATGTGCTCCACGTGGCGCTACCTTTGAAGACCATGCAATTTGTGTGGAATGCAGTGGCCCATTCGCTGGCAGTGAGAATCATTACAGCCTAGATTGCTGGAGCTGCACTGGCTTCCAATTGGGGTGCAATTCAAAATGTTGGCTTTACCCTTTAACCTATATGGTTAGGTTGACTTTAGGACTTGCAGGATCATGTTCTCCAAACAGAACCGACCTATCCAATTCGCCTCTTTTGGCTGGGGATAATGAGTATCCCCCATACTGAAGTGAGCTTGAAGATCTAGTGTTTCCTTGTTGTGACCCAACTCTGTGGAACAGCCCCCCCGGAAGTTAAGATTGGCCTCCTGGCAATAAGATTGGGAGACAGTTGCACGAACCTGCCCAGCTCTGTCAACAGGGCTTCCTTCTCAGTAAAGTGGACAGGATCGTTGGTTTAAGCAGCTCCAGTTTCTTTGAGTAAATTCATTTCAAAACTTTAGCTCTTTTTTACTTTCTTTCCTTTCAATCAGCATTTAAACAGCCACAAAAATCATTTGCCATCTTTTTTGTCCTATGTCAACATGCTTCTTTATGAAATCTCACAACAGATTATTTTAATTTAAAGCTATAATCTTGGTAACTGGCTGCTGACTGGCATGTAGCAGTATGTAATCAAAGAGAAATTTCCGAAACAGCTTTCCATCTTCCTTCTCCCATCCTTTTCCCAGAAGTAAAGCTAGGCTGGAACAGATCCCAGATTATGTCCCATTCATGTTTACTAGGTGTGATGATCAGGAACATTGCAAACATTGCCATGGCATAAATTGTGATACGACTGCCTGCAGCACTTCCAGATTATGGAACGATGCACCCAAACCATTAGTCAGATAAAGCTGTGCACAGTAACAGTTATGTCCTTCTATGATTAAAAAAGGCTTACTTTTGAGTAAACCTGTACCAGACTGCAAAAGGTTGTTTTTCTTCTCCCTTCCTATCCTTTCGGCATCAATTAACTACCTTTCAGACATGGGGGTGATTTCTTGACCCTCAAAATTACTCTACTCTTTTTCTCAGCAGAGTTCTATAATATCTTCCTTTTGTCATTACTCTGTTGAGACAATTGCACTCAGCATGTGATATGGAGACCCCATTAACTTCTAGGAACTAGACCAATAATCTCTTAATTTAAACAAACCCAGAGTTAATCTCAATGGAATTTAGCCTATTTATAGACTATTCGCAAAGCCTCATTTATTATTTCTATTTTTTTTCTTATCACCTAAGCTTTGGCCAAAAAAAAAGAGTGCTATTTTTTTTCTTGAGAAGATTCCTGTGCCAATATAGTTATTATGATAATTTCCTTAAAATGCTCATAAAAAGCAACAGCTGTAAATCAAGAGACACAGTTTAATGCCTCTCAGTTTCATTTTATCAGCTCCTCTCTGACAGAATACTGGAACTTTTACCCCACAGCAACAAATAATTATACTCAGTTCCTAAACACTATGCCAAATATCAACTTGTTCAATATTGTCCAAGTATTTTATTATTATATTTTTATTCTACCTTTCTGTCCCACCAAAGAAGCCCCTAAGATCACGTTCCTGATCCTCACCCTCTTTATTTATATTTTCACAATATATGAGAAGAGACTAAAAGAGGCCTACAGTGACACCCATGGCTTCACTTCACTTCACTTGACAAGAAAGAGAGGAAGCTCTTGACAATGACATTTTTCTCCAAACTTTATACTAATTACATCCTTGCCTGTAGATTGTGTCTGTCTTCCTGGCATGTCTTCCCTAAATCACCTTGCCTCTCGTTAACCAACTTGCCAGCTCTGGCCCATTTTGGTTATTTGTTAAAGAATGCCTTAAACTTCTTACTTGCAGTACAACCCTGACTTCCACAAGTGTTTAATGGTCTTAGGTCATTATTGGTTTCATGTAAAGAGAGCTATCCAAGCAGCTAACCTTCTAGCAACATGCCTCTTCTTCTACTGTCTTCTACAAGATATAGAGAGAGTTTACCTTTAGTTCATCCCACGCTGTTTCATTCCTATTACAGAGTAGCAAACTGCAGACAACTGGCTCATCAGGAATTAGATGCAAGAACCATTTTGAGTCAAAACATTGAGCCTGTAAGTCCTTCAGATGGCCATAACAAGCAGGAGACAGGAATTGTAAAGAAGGTATTGGCTGAGAACCTAATCAATTAAGGAAAATAAAGGCATGTATTATCCCATAAACAGAGAAGCCTGTTTTAGATGTCCCTGCTAGTTGGGATCAAAACAGACATTCTGCAAGGCTTATATGCTTTTAGATGTTCTGGGTCAAGAAATAGAGGCAAGTAATTTGGACAAACCTTATAATTAATAGAGCTACCATCTGCAAGCTACAAAAATGAAAGTTTAGATTGTGAAGGTATAATTTCAGGAAAGAAGCACGTAACTTAATTTGTGAGATTCATTGCCCTAAGATGCCTCAGTGATGGCCAAGGGCTTAAATATTCTAATAAAAAGATCAGATCAATTTACAGACAATGAAGTATCAACCTTATCCATAATAATATGTATATCTAAAAGTACTGTTAATGAGTACTTTCAGATATCCATATGTCTATATCTAGTTAATTAGTGGGAGAATCATATAGGCTATCAATTTGTCTAATCTAGATGATTTCTAATCTTTCTTTGAAGGGGATGGGATGGAAATCATTTTAACTTTAGGGTCATCTTCCTTTCAGATAAATATGGTAGATAAATGGACCCACATTATTCAATATTAAATCTTGGGGAAGGCAACCTCAGTGTTTACTATTGGTGTCACATTCCGGCTCCCTCTGCTCAGCTCCAAGACCTAGTCTCCAGACTTCTGTGGCCCTGGACTCTGGCTGCTGCTGCTGAATGCCAGGTCAGACAGTAATAAACCTTATTTAATCATGGATGAGAGGGCTAACCTGGTATGTATTACTGAAACCTGGTTGGGCTTTGTATGTGGGGGTCCTCTCTTCGAATGTGCCCTTTAGGGTTTTGAGTCTAGCATCAGCCAAAACTCCAGGGTAGGGGTGGGGGTGTGACTGTTGTCATCCAAAAGTTTCTGGTGGCCTTTAGGGCTGCTGCCCCAGACGTAGCCAGATGTGAGAGCCAGTTTATAAAATTGGGCCATAAGGATCGGTTGAGTCTGCTGCTTGCCTACTTCGCTCCCTGTAGTGTAGCAGCATTCCTGCCTGAGCTCCCTGACTCTGTGGGTGAGTAGGTGGTGGAGTTCCCTAGACTGATGGCTTGGGGGACTTAAGCCTGCCTTCTCTGGGTCTGGAGCCAGAGGTGGCTTGGGAGTTCATGGCAACCATGAACCTGACCCAGCTTATTAAAGGCCCAACTCACAGCAGTGGTCACACTTTAGATCTGGTTTTTGTCTTGGGGCAGTGGCAAGGTGATCTTGGGTTGGGAGATGTTAACATCAGTGCCTTGCCATGGACAGATTATTTGCTTTCAGCCCCAGAGTTCTCTGTACCTGCACCACGCTGCAGGGAGGGTCTGTTTGATCAGCCTGCCCCAGGTCCTGGATGGACCCACTGGGGCTTCAGAGGGGACTTGGTGCATGGTTCAACTGAGACCTTGGTGGCAGCTTGGAATGAGCATGCCACCAGAGCCTTGGAATGGATCACATTTGTCT